AGTTGGCACGGTTGCTAAAGAACAATCTATTAAAGTTGAAGCAGCTGAAACAAATTCAGAAGAATTATTACTAGAAAACGAATTATACAGTGTTATAACACTAGAAAGTGAGAACATAAAAATCGAGCCGAACGCTACTGTTTTAGAAAGTTTGACTGATGTTGTTACAGACGATCGAACATCCATTGCAGATGAGATTTTATTGTTACAATTCACAGAAGAAGAAGAATTTGAAAATAATTCAAAACAAGTTAAAAATTCCTCTTGCTTGTTGAAACAACACATTAAAGAACATAAAAGTGGTGATAATATTAATAAATCTGCAATTTTAAAGTAAGTAGTTTAATAAATATTTTAAAATTACTTTTTAAAATTCTTTAGAAAGCGTAAAGGTATACAGCAAGGAGAGGGTCCTTTTACTTGTGACTTTTGTAAGAAGAAATTTCCGGTGTTGAGTGTATTGGAAAACCACCGTCGTTCTCACACTGGTGAAAAACCATATATCTGCACTGAAGTAAGTATTGCGATTCTTTAAATTTAAGATTATATATATAAAATGACTTTTTTTGTTTTATAGTGTAAACAATGTTTTGCTCATAAGCAAGCACTCAATCATCACATGACTCGACATACTGGTGAAAAACCCTATTCATGCACAACTGTAATTTTTACATTTAATTTTATTTAACTTTAAAGATATTTAGTATATATTTTTTAAGTGCAATAAAAGTTTTGCTGTTAAGGAGTCACTCAAGCGTCATTTGAAGATACATACTGGCGAAAAACCCTTTGCATGCAGTGAAGTAAATATTGAAATTATTCCAAATAGTACTAAATCTGATGTATACATTTTTATAGTGCAATCAATGTTTCGCTATCAAAGAGGCACTAAATCTTCATATGAGGCGACATACAGGCGAAAAACCCTTCACATGCACAGAAGTAATGATTTTAATAGTTTTGATTCAAAAATAAAGATATTAAGAATAAATTTGTTTTCAGTGTAATCAATGCTTTTCTCGTAAGCAAGCACTCAGTGCTCATATGATGCGACATACTGGTGAAAGGCCATACATGTGTACTGAGGTAATAAACGAAATATTTACTTTAAAGAATAACTATAATAACAATATATTTTTATAGTGTAAACATTGTTTTGCTCGTAAACAAGGACTCGAACTTCATATGAAACGACATTCTGGTGAAAAACCCTTTATATGCACTGAAGTAAAGTCTACAAATATTTTAATATCAAAATAAAGTAAAAAATATATTATTTATAGTGTAGTCAATGTTTTGCTACTAAGGAATCACTAAATCGTCATATGAAGCTGCATACTGGTGAAAAACCCTTTACGTGTCCTGAAGTAAATATTACAATTATTTTCACTTCAAAATAAATATAAAAATATATATATATATAACTAATTTTTATAGTGTAATCGAAGGTTTGCGTTCAAGCTTGCCCTCAAACGTCACATGAGGCGGCATACGGGTGAAAAACCGCACACATGTACTGAAGTAATAAGCAAAATCGTTTCTATTTAAAATAAATTATAATAAATATAAATTTTTTTATAGTGTAATAAAAGCTTTGGTGTTAAACAAGAACTCAAACGTCATATTAGGCAGCATACTGGCGAAAAACCTTATAAATGCACTATGGCAAATATTACAATTATTTTCATTTAATATTAGCTGTAAATTTGTATTCTTTATAGTGTGATCAAAGTTTTAATATTAAGGACTCTCTGAATCGTCATATGAATCGTCATACTGGAGTTAAACCCCACACATGTTCTGAAGTAAATATTACAATTGTATTATTTTAAGTCGAAATATAAAAAGTATATTATCTTTTAGTGTAATAAAAGTTTTGCAGTTAAGGAATCACTAAATCGTCATATGAAATTGCATTCTGGTGAAAAGCCTTACTCTTGCACTGAAGTAAATATTGTTATTTTTATGCGTTATTAAATACAATAATGAAATGATTGTTATAGTGTAATAATTGTTTTGCTGTTAAGCAGGCGCTTAAACGTCATATGAGACAACATACTGGTGAAAAGCCCTATAAATGTACTGAAGTAAATATTGTAATTATTTTGATTTGAAATTATATATACGAAGTCTATATTTTTATAGTGCAATGAAAGTTTTAATGTTAATGACTCTCTTAAGCGTCATATGAGGCGTCATGCTAAAGAAATTCTACGAATACAACAAAGTAAGTATTGCAATTATTTTTATTTAAGAATAAATATAATATAATAAGTATATATTTTTATAGTGCAATCAAAACTTTTTTCTTAAGAGTTAAATCAGTTGTCGTACAATACAACACATTGGCAAAAGTTTGTAATTAATATGGATAAAGTATTTTGTTACTACTGTACTTTGTTATCATAGCAAAACTCATCTACGTTCAATTTTCTGTGGACCATATAAAGAAATATTCAAAACATTCAAATGTGAAGTACACGTTGCTATTATCATTTTACACCAGTTTGGTTTTACAAACTAAAGCAGCAGAAATCTGGTATAGATTTCATTTTATTGGAAGCGTAAAAACGAAGCCCAGTATGAATCACAGATTTAAGTGCAACAGCGGAGGAACTGAACATTTATAGAAGTTCTTATTAACGAATTATTCTAAAAGAATATAAAGTTTTAGAATTTCAAAGAGTAAATCCAAAACATTGGTAGTATAATGGTTTATTGACATGGCATGGTTGTTTTCTATAGAAAAATTGTTTTACTTATGTATGGATAAAACGTAGCCAACGCTTCGGGAATTTTAATTTTAAAATTCATCTTCATCTTAAGCTTTAAATAACTGATCAGTTTTTTTGTCAGATTCCGACGACGTTAAGCATTTTATCCATACTACGTTGTTAATGTAGTTAAGAATCAAGAAAAAGTTTACGGAAGTTATTTAGAAAATTAAGTTAAATATAAGTTTAATTTAAATTATTTTTAAGCTAATGTTGTCATAAACATAAAATATGAAGTAAAACAAGATAAAAATTTTTAGTTTAAAGATATAGATATGTGACAGAGAATGCGATTCATTTAAAACAGTAATTTGTTATATATCTAAAGTTGAGGATATATACCAAATCTTAAACGTTGCTCTATTATTAGGTATAAAATTTAAAATCTTTGGGGTCATTTTCTTACCTACCTAACAGAGTTGTCATCTTACAAAATTAGGGATTTGCTCAAGTTTATTAATTTGACCGGTTGGTGTAGTACACAAGAATAACCTTTAGTCTGCGTGTCAACAACGCTAACCGTTGTGTCACAACCTTCCATTATAAAATCTTAAGTAGGCTTTAAACATAAAGCTAGCACTACAGCCTAAACTTACAGTTTCTCGGTAACTTGGTATTCGGTAAGGCCATAAAATGACAAACGTCTAAACATCCATTTTTAATGTTTTCAGGGTAAATGTAAAATGAAACTGTTAAGTTGATTTGATTTTTGACAAAATCAAATTGAGTTTAGCATGATCGGATGAATTTCCGAATTCACATAACAATTAATTATATTTCTAGCTAACATTGTGTTAAAATATTTTTAAATAATAACAATTTTTAAATAATATACATACATGTATTATAACACCTAAAGAAAACAAAGCTTTAATAAATTTCTTGTCGATAATAAAATTTCATTTAACATGAATCAATAAGGTTTGCTATACAATATCTAATATACATTCAAGGCAGATTATAATACAACTTTTCGTTTAATCTGAAATGGCATAAATTATTTAATCTATTCACACAGCATAATTAAATATAATTTTATTCAATTGGCTTGTACAAGTAGCTTCATTGTAAAATTATACGAACTTTAGTCAAGGAAATTTATTAAAGTTGATTTAGTGTTTACATTATCGTTTCGGGTTTTTATTTTGACAATTGTTACATATTTTAATATATTAATGAGTAATCAGCTGGAAACATTATTATGAAAACCTGTGTTGTAATTATAAACCAATTCGATTTTGGTAATGGCATGAATTATTTAATGTATTCACACAGCATAATTAAATATAATTTTATTCGATTCGCTTCTTCAAGTCTTTTCGTTGCAAATTTATGATTAAATTGTAATTTGTAATAAATTGACTTTTGTGCGCATAAATTACAACCCTGGGCTGGTTGACCGAACTCCAATTTTTTTTTTTTAATTACATTATTTCTTTGACACATTTTAAAAGCACAACAAATATGAAGTCAATAAAGTTTTTAGTTTTAGTCTATGATTTTGTGAACCAATTAAACTTTGTACAAATTGTATATAATTCTCCAACTTATTTGTATCATTCATAATACAAATTGCTTGTAATAATTTTTTATATATGAGAAATTAACATAAATATATTATTTGATATTTTAATGAAAACGCATATTGTATGGATAATTGTAGAGTTTAAATTAGAAAATGTGCAATTAACTTTGACCTCCAAAATTACAGAGTAAATTCATTTTTTATTATTCACTATAAAAAATTATTTTGTTTGTTAAAATAGGTAAGTGCTAAAATTGGTATATTTTTATTCTTCTAAATTTTAATTTCCTAAAATCCTAATTTTTAGGTGTGAAGAAATAATCTGAATGTGCCACTTGTATAGTGGTTACCGCTCGTAAAATACAAGGATGAATGATATGGAAAAAATTGAAAAGGACACTATTAGTATTGAGAATGAAGATATTTGTTTTTGCTGCGGTGAAAGTCATGACATATTTCATGTAAGTTTTTCATAGTCTCTTAATGCCAACAATAAATAGTATTAATTGAATGAAAGAAGATTATTTGTGAATAATGAGTAACATTTGCAGTATATTTAATTAATAACACGACCAGGATAAGAGATTGAATACTTTAGTAATCGAATAATATATGGTAACTCCAAGGCCTTCTATTAGTATATTCATATATCGTTTAAGTTTAATAGTTTAATAGTTAGTTAAAAGTGTTGATCTCATTTAGAAATTAAATTGGTAGTATTTTACATAAAGAAGACCAAGACTCACACTGGACTGTAGTGCCAAATAAGTAGAAAATTATTTTATATGTTCGTCCTTCTAGTCTGTTGTGCCTGAAAATTTATTTAGAAATATAATTGTTTATTATTTAGAACTCAATTTGTAAACAAATTCCAGTATAAATAGCCCCTTTACTTGTTTACGCGAACCGTAGACATAATACTCCACTTTAAGGAAAAATTCAAATGAATTTCGTGTAATCGATAATATTTTTATAAATAATTAGTATATAAAATAAAAATAAAATATTTGAAATATCAAGTTTTTTATTTAAGTCTCACAAAAGCCTTTTAAAACATAAATAAGTTTTTACATTATTATACATTTTCAATTTCATTCATGTTTCATAATTTACTTTTACTACATATTTACAAAATGACGTATTAATGTACATATATATTATCATATATATTTATAAAGATTACGATTACAACAGCATCTAAATGAGACAGCCAAACATCTGTCTAATACATCTGGCCTGCTGATGAGACTTAAATGGACTAGCCTTCAGATCTACCCCTGAATTAGTACTCTAATAATAATTTTGATTACTACTCTACTAGCACTAAGTCTTTGACAACTTGACAATTCTAAAACGTATTCTGAAATATAACAACATAAATTAAACCGTTGTTAAATCTTTTTATAATTAATGTAGTAGGAACACGATAAAAAATGTTTTCTAGTATATCCCCCCTTGGTTCTTATTATACTCTTTTTATTATAAATAATTTTATGAACTGCAAAAACATTGCCAAAAAATATTTTCTAGTATAACGCCGTCCTTTTGGCACAAACCTGTTTAGGCTTCTAAGGCTAAAGTTCTTAAGCAGATTATATTATGAGATCACAGATGAAGCTCTTATACGAAACTAAATATGGAAAGGTTTTCAGTTTTATTAATAGATTTTGTTAGCAAAATTTTTTAATATAAAAATATTTCTTATATCATATTATTTCTCTTTTTAAGATGGGTCAAATAAATTGTTCGGATTGTACAAAATCATTTAAAACACAAATGGGCTACGAGCGACATATTTTTATAACGCATTCAGAATCCAATGAATTTTCTTGTTCTATATGTAATGCAAAATTGCGCACATCTGATTTGATGAGGTTGCATGAAGAAGAACACAAAAATTGTGGAAGATTTTATGGTTACAAAATGAGCGGCAAAGATTTTGATTGTAAATTTGAATTGAAATTCCATCAAAAGTCTACTTCCTGTTTGCTAAGTACAACTGACATCATCAGTAGTAGTAATGTGTGTAATAAAATATTTTTTCCTACAGACGATAAATCGTTAATTAAAGATGATACTACTGATATAAAATTTAAAGAAAATGAAGTATTAGAGATAACTACAGAGCAATCGTTATTAAATAATGAACTGTGTACTTCAATAGAAAATGAGAATATAAAAATAGAACCCAAAAATAGTATTTCTGAAAGTCTGTTGGACGTTAATAAAAACAACAAAATGTCGGTTGAAGATGACACATCTTTACAACAATTGAATGATAATGAAGTACCTACAGCAACCACAGAGCAATTGTTATTAAACAACGAATTATACACTATTATAACACTAGAAAATAAGAATATTCAAATGGTACAAAAAACTATTGTCCCAGGAGGTATAATTGGCGCTACTAATGAAGACAGAAAGCCTCTTGGTGAGGG